TTGTAGTTAAAATTTTTTAATGGTTTTCAAGGCTTTTTTCAATGATGAGGGCATTTACGTCTTTTGCACTGATGAAAAATTGAAATTCTTGCTCCATTGATGTTTATGGTTGTGACTTTATCAGGCGGAGTTTGTTCCAATTTTGGATCCAAGCCTCACCGAGCAGTATGAATATGCAAATGAGCATGACATTAAATGTCTTATTATCATTTCAGACACTGGTGTTTCTCAAAAAGGTTCTGTTAAGGTAATTCCAAATTTTTCAATATTATTATATTTATAATGTATATCCCAACAAGCTAAATCGGTTTCCAACAACAAAAAAGGCGATTTATTTATTTAAATGTTATATAAACAGATTCGTCATCTTGAGCTTAAGCGGGAGAAGGAAGTAAGCCGAGAATCACTCACTAAATTTCTATCAGAAGCAATGGCATCACAGTATAGAAACCCATCTATTTGGAATTAAACTAAACCCTAAACCCTAAACCACCTTCTAGTTGCAATTGTGTACAGGAGTTCAAAATACTGTAAGGCAAACGTAAACACAATGTCAAAGGTATGTGATGATGGAATACTTTAACCTCTTTTTATCACTTTATCAACATCATAGTTACCTTTTTTTTTTCAACATTTTATCATTTTCTCTGATAATCAAGTTTTCTGATTGCTTAAAACAAACATTTTTCTCGTTTACTGGGTTTTCAAGTATAGAAAATCACAACATACTTTCAGCATTTATCGATTTACCTTTACCTATATCTTTATTATGATCATAATAAACTGAAAAAATCAGGTAAACTGAAAAAATGTTTTAATCACTACACTGATAGTTTTTGTGGCTAAATCGATAAAATTGTGAAAATACAGATTCGTATTTGTATTTTACCCTTAATGTAAATGCACAAAACAAAAAACCCCAATGTTCTAAAAAAGATGGTTACACTTTTGTTATTGAATCCTGAAGCACTTACATAATCCTTCTCAGGTTAATTGTCCCTGCTGATGTGGCATATCATGAATTGTTGGATTTAGGTGCAGTGTTATGGTTTTCACAACATTTGTTTGATCTCTTTGTTGAGTCAAACCAAGTTTTGACCGTTTTACCATATTACTAGAAATGTTATTTTTTTAGCTATGAAAGAAACTTTTATTAAAATAGTAAACACAAAAATCTTCGAGTACAAGGCCTTTCGACCTCATGCTGATATATGCAGAAGCAAAACAGAAAGAATTCAAGAATTTTGTATGTAGATGGTTTTGGTTTGTGTTTTCTTGGGTTATATATATATATATATATATATATATATATATATATATATATATATATATATATATATATATATATATATATTATATATATATATTGCACTATTTTCCTGGGCTTGAGGTAATAAGTAAATATTGCTTATTGAACTTTTATTTGTGTAAGTGTTGATAAAATTGACTTTTAATTCCATTGGGTATTTGTAGTTATTGAACTTCATGTTTCTGATATTCATTACAATTTTATCGATTAGAGAAAATCTTCAAAAAGTGTCAGGAAAGTTTTTGCCTACCAACTGTTTGATAAAAATCATCAAAATTGTTCTTCGACTTAAAAAAGGGTTTGACCCAAATTCTTGAATTCAAAGACTCCCAAGATTGTTGGTAATGTTTCATGGGAATAACAACTTTAGTATATCGAGGATTAAGATGAGAGCAGTTTTGAAACACAATTTGGATCCCTCTTTCTGGTATGAATCTTGCGTTGATGGAGGGAACAGAATATATGCAACAAAAAGAAAAAGCACGACCTTGTTGTCCTTTTTGGATGAGGTTCTATAAGAAGTTGTTGACAAACAAATTGTTGCTAAACAACGTTTGTTTGTTTTCATCGAGGTTCAATCTTGAAAGACCATTTAGATGGGATATACTTAATCTTGATAGATTTCAAAACTGTACAAGTCAAGTTTGAAGATAAAGTGGGTTTCTCTATGGATATATAAAAGATTATCAAAGAATAGAGGTATACTACAGTCAACCTCTACTTAGATCTTTCAAAAATTGCATTAGCCACATTCTCAATTTGAAAGATCCATTCTATTGCATTACATGTTTTTCCACATGATTATGGTTTTGTCACTCGTCTTCACTACAACGACATTGAGATACTTTGGATTAGGTTTCTAGGTGCTATTGATAATTTTAAATTTGAGGTTTCACCAACCTCTTCTTAATTATTCTTACCATGGTGGCTACCCGTTTTCCATGGTTGTGGGTTTTACACATGAATCTCCCCATCTTCAACAACAACGATATCACATTCAACAAGATTAAGGTTGATCCAAGACATTTCTAGTTATTCTTTTAAATTTTTTGATTAAGGTAGAGATTGTTTTATTCGTTGACAACCATGAGGCTGATTTGTCGAATACCGCATTACTTGATACAAAACACTTCCTTTTATTGGGATCACAACAACTCCATCCTTTTCTTTTTGAATCATACCTTACAAAGATGCTACATACTGCTTTCTTTTCCATCCTGTGAAGAAGATGATTGGGTATGAAAACATTAAAGACACTGCTTTAATTTGCACCAAAACATGTATAGTCTAGAGCAACATATTACAAAGATCTATCGATTCACTCCCATTGCCATATTTGTATTTCTAGGTACTCTAAAAAACTAATTATATATATGAACTTGTTTTTTTAGTATCAAAAAGTTGTATTTGGTTTATACAGCAACAATGACAACAGAAATACCCTACTATTAATACTCCGGAACATTACTCTGGTATGTTCCGGAGACGGGATCCCGAATCCACTTTTTAGTCTCGAATTGCGGGTATTGAATCCACTTTTAGTCTGGAATGAACTTAATTACTCCGGATTTGTATGCCGGACCTGATGGATATTTTTTAAAAACTGATTTAAAAAAAAAAAAATACTACATCATTTAGAATGGTCAGTTTAACGAAGTAACAACTATGGCGACCTAAGATATCATTAACCTAAATAATTAAATGCTTGTAAATTTGTTACAAATTTATATTTTTTAGTTAATCAGGTTAGCAACTGAAAAAAAAAAATTAAAACCTCGAATAGAATTCGGTTTCATTTGCATGTTAAGTTGATTAGTAGCACAAAATTAAAGTACGATTTTATTAGGATTAAACCTAATTTCTTTGTTAAAACACAAAGCACCAAAACACACACGTTTCCAAGGAACAAAACAAAGTAACAATTTACAAATGGCTTGAAGCACATGGGCTAAAGACGACGTGCTAACTTTTTTCCTCCACCTCTCCACAAATGCATCAAATCAATTCAACACGTACTTTGCATGCAGTCTCTCAACACGACTATAAATCCAGCAACGTTTACACCACATTAAGCATCACTCGTCAATTACATCCATCATACAAGTACAATGGCTAGGTACTCGCTTCTATTTGCAGCAGCAGGACTCCTCCTCCTTGTGACCATGGCGGAGGCAACCACCAAAACCATCTTCACCACCACCACCACCTTCGAGGAGAACCCCACGGGAAAAAGAACTGAAATGTCTTGCGGTCAGCAACTGGCTGAGCAGGCGATGCTCAACCACTGCATGATGTACCTTGACACTGCCTCAGGAATGAGCATGGGCAGAGGGAGGATGTCGGAGCCAACCCCAGAACAGCACCTGGAACTGTGTTGCATGCAGCTAACGAACATCGATGAGATGTGCAGGTGTGAGGCCATCGAGATGATGATGAACCAACAAGGGTGGACGCCACAGCAGATGGGTAAGATGATGGGCATGGCGAAGAACTTGCCCAAAACATGCAAAGTCGAACCTGGAATGTGCAAAATGCGAGCGGCCTGGTTCTAAATTCACATGCCATTTAAGTGCATGGTCCGTAGTTAATAAAATGAGACTCACTATCACACCATCGTGTGTACCTATGTAATATATTTCATCGGATGTCTCGATATTTAATAAAGTTTGGACTTATTCCTTTTACGTACGTCTCATGCCGCCTGCTTAATTATTTGTTCATGGATCATGACATCAATCAGCCAATAAATAGAAAAGGGTATGTCTATACCCTTTTTATAAACTACAATGACCTTTAATTTAAATACAACAAAATTGTAAAAATGGTCAGACGCCATTTTTTCATGTTTTAGGCGCACCATGACTTGACTTTGTGGTTCTTTTGATTTAAGTTCGTTGCATTTTTAGTCCTTAAAACTTAAAAAATTATTATAGCATTAATATGTTTATTTTTCATTTTTCTTTCGTCCCCTTAAATATTTTATAATTAGTAAGTATAGAAACGGGCCATCTCTCTCTCTCTCTCTCTCTCTCTCTCAATACTATAATCATAATACAAGGAAATTTTTTCATAAATGGTCCTTGAAGTTTTCAAAAAAAATCATGTTCCTAACTTTTTATGTCATCAGTGATGGTACATATGGTTTAAAAACTTTTAACAAATGGTACTTATTGGTGATATAACCATGTGAGAGAAAAATCATCATTCCATACCGTAGGGACAATTCTTGAAGTTTTATTTAAATTATACCCCCTCCCCCCTTATCACCTACTCGACAACCACCACCGAAACGCCGCCACCCTCCGTCATCGTGCCTTCAACTATTTTCAGAAAAGACATGGTTGCCCATTAAAATCGTTGTATAAACTTCATCAGATTGTGCAAATTTTGAAAACCTAAAAAAGCTTCATATTTTTTTTCTACGAACAACCAATTATTTAACATAATAACACATATCATACTCCTTACAATAGGATACATCTACCAAATTCTACAAATCTTCGAAAGTATCTATATAAGTAACTGTCAACCCAAAACAAAACTTGATTCAATAATAAGCCCATTTGAAAACACATTTGATGCATAAATCCACATCACAACTTCCTTGCCTTCTACCACCTTTTCTAGGCTTGTTATTATTGGTTGTAATTGTTGTAACGAACTTTGTAACCACCAAACAAAAAGGAAAAAAACTAAACATAAATATGTTTGTCATTTTCTCAAATAGGAAAAGAAATATTTTCTTTTAAAAGTATTATAAAGAATCTAAGGGAGTATCGGGCACTTGGGGCATGTGTGTGTGTCTTGTTACTGGTTATCCATAACTTTTTTAGAAGAGCTTACACCAAGTTCCTACAAATCAAACAAAAAGTCTTAAACATGAATGTTTAAAAAAATAAGGAACCCCATTACATACTTCATTCTTTATGAAATCAATGAAAAAAATATCAAATCTACACATCTTGGGAGAGATCTTGTGCATCAAGCATGGTTGCATAAGGAAAAGATTCGTATCTTTCGGACTTCACCTTTATTAGTTCTATCTGGCATACAAATAGAAAAATATGTCATTGTCAAGAAAGTCTTTGACTTAATGGAGAGCTTAAAAGGCAACTGTATTCAACAATTGATTAATCAGTATAAAAGAACATATCCCGTTGTAGATGATGGAGAAGAACAAGCTTACCATTTCTATCAATCCAACAACTAAGCAAGTAAATGAAAATCAAACCATTTAAAGAAGAAGATTAATATATATTATCATAAATATACTATTTGAAGGTTACTAACTATGAGGAACTATGAAATTTTTTTGGAATAGATGTCTAAGGTCATAAATAAATTAGTCAAAGTCAACAACTATATTAATATAACTTTATGGAATAATAGCAAAACACTTTTTGGTTTGCCCTCGTAACTAGGAATAGCTAGAATTGATATTAGGATAAAGATAAAATTATTTGTTAATATATTTTTTGACTAATATATTAATTGAGAATAGAAAATAAGTAATTAATTAGAAAGGGTTGGAATTAATTAATTATTAATCAAAACTAATCTAGAATTGATTTTGGATTAATTGAAATTAATTAAATGTCCAAAGGTTGAATTATAATTGTTCTTATTTGAGCAAGGAAGAAAATTCTAGAACTCTTATAGGGTTAGATGTTTTTTGCTAGGATCTTGGAGAATTTTGGAAAGCTGGTTAATTGATAAGGATTACCATATTTGAATAGATAAAATAGTATTATTTTATTGTTCAAATCTAGGGTTTTCCTTAGACCATCTACACTATAATTGGGACCACAAGGAAACCAAATTTTGTTCATACTCTTCCTAAGAGGGATATAGCCAAAATTTCTTCGTCCATCTGCTCTCCCCTCCTTATTCTAGGGTGCCTAGGGTTTTAGGTGTAAGCCATTAGAGGCAACTGTGACATCCCCATTTTCACAGTCAGAAAAAACTGATTTATTTATGCTTATTTAAAAACCAGAGTGTCCTTTTTGAAAAATATGATAAAGATGTTATCAAATCATTTATGAAGAAATTTATTTTATTTATATTAAAACATTGGGATGTCATCGTCAATACATAAACATAAGCATAACGAAATATTACAAGCCTTACAATAATTAAACTAGTGATCTAATACTCCTTGAATCTCTCAGCAAAATGTATCTTTTATATAGCCACTTGTGATACAATAAACTGAGTGGGTCAGATTGGGAAAACTGGTGAGTATATAGGGTTTTTATCCCACAATAATATAATTATTATGTTTAATTGTCACACCCCAAAACCTGAACGGCGGAAACGTTCGGGGGCGGATGACATCATGTATAGTATCATAACAATGAAAAGTAGTAAACAAGCAACATCATCCATTGCATTAATAATATAGTTTAATACATGTGTGTTCTTTCGTAGTAATATGACACCAAAACAAGTAATCAAAATAAAAGAAGAGTCTTGAACGTGCTTCTTCTTCTCAAAACCTGACAACGGTACCTGTCTACTGATGACCTGAGAATACAAGTTATTTTGAAAGCATAGATCAGCATTAAGCTGGTGAGTTCATAAGTATTTAATGTCAGTGTTTGTATAAGTTTGAATGAAAATGTTTGTAAATATTCAATGTAAATGTTTGTATATGTTTAAAAACCCCTAGAAAATCCCATATTTCCTACTAGTATAAAAAGTAGTCTTCTGCTAAGACCCGACTGTTTTGAATGTTTGTTTCTCTATAAAAGTGGATGTTGTTCCCTAGTTTATAACTATCTTGACTCGAAAATAGCTTGCATTTACTTTCAAGTAGAACTGTCACTATATGAAAGTAATGGGAAAAGTAAGCACTCAGGGGTCTTCAGAATTGACAACCTGCAGTACTAATTACCTAAAAACATATTTGTTTTATTAAGGTCATAACGTGATGAGTAGTTCCCATACTAAACGTTCTCCCTACAAGAGATTTTGGGAAACAAGAGTGACTTCCGCAACGAATTACTAGGCCGTAATATCCACATTAAAGTTATATAATCATGTATACCCAATTTATTATCACCTTTTGTTTAGATCAATGCGTTAGTGATCATTAGTATAGTTAGATCATGTAGTTGTTCCATGCTATAGCATCTTAGTATGTTCTTTCTGTTACAGTATCTTAGTATGTACTTGTATATGATAATATTCTCTGTGTTTGTATATGATAGTATTCTCTGTGTAATATTTGTTATAGTATTCTTCTTTGTAGTATTTGAATGATTGACTTGTACTTTTATATCTACCTATGTATACATAATATATAACAAATGTTTAGACGACCTTCAGACAACTAACCGATTACTCTAAGTACACATTCAAACAAGAAAAAAGGAAATAAAGTGGGTTAGCAGGTCTAAGTCCTTTACACATTTCTTACATAACTATACATATATAGGCATGCATTTGACGATATATCAGTTAAAGAGGAAGTTTTATAGAACCTTTTGAAGGGTTTAATAATAAATATTGATGACTTGATGTCAATTTATAAAACGATTTAAAAGTAGTTTGTTTGATAACACAGTTTGAAGTATATGAAATCCTATTGTTTGAAACACAGTTATAAATCATATATGATTGATTAAATAACAAAAAAGTATAGTAGAAGATTTATGTTTTTTTTTTCACACAAGGATAATCGTGTGTTTACTTGTTCCCCCCCCCCCCTAAAAGTGTATAAAAGCATTTACAAAGTATTTGAAAACATAGTTGTAGGGGTATGAACTCACCTGGTAGAAGTGGTGAGTTGGAGAAGGCAAGACTAAACTCAGATAGTACTTCGACTGGAAAGAAGTAAGTTCCTCGGGAACTTCGGGACTTCGAGACTTGCGTCGTGTGCTAGGGTTGTTATCAGGGCTTTGGGGTGGTCTCGGGATGCTTAACACAGAGTAGGAGTGGGAGAAAGGATAGGAATGAGCATCCAAACTCGGAAGGCTTCAATTTCTATATATAGGCCTAAAATCGAAGTTCACGTCATGAGTTTTGCCAATTCATGTCGTGAGTTGGTCCTGATTCGCTCAGGGCATGCGTCATCTGTCAAGTGGCTCTGAAATGGTCAGTCCTACTTTTAAATTATAAATTTAGCATACAAAGGCAGTGAACCTGTCTTTTAGTGGTATAGTTGGATAAGTAGAGTGTCGAACTCAGGGAACGGAAATTAAACTAATAACTAATTTTAACTAAGCGAGTAATAAAAGTAAAGGTTTTTCTCTAGTTTTACAAGACTAGAAACTTAAACACACCACCTAACAAGTGATTATCTAAAAACTAAAACAAGTAAAAATTCACCAAATTTGATAAAGAGTTTCTGTTTAGGTCCAACCAATTCACTCATATGGTTATTTGTGTAATAATGTGATAAATTAATTGTTATTGGTTACCAACTATGGTGGTTAGATTCGTGTTCACTAATACTAACCCTTAGACAATTAATCAATTCAAGTAGTGGCTAATTGTTTAAACTAATTAATTCCCTAGTTCAATTATTTGGATTAAATAAGATTTGTAATTG